CGCGGGCATAAGTGGAAACTCATTTTAAGCCTGTGCGCGGGTTCACACATAGCTTTCTACTTGGCTGTCGAGTTAAAAGGGTTTCGTCAGTTATATACACTGGCTGTGAGCATCCAGCCAGTAGTTTCATCCCGAATTTTCGTATATATATAAATTATACACATATATAATTTATATCAAAAACAGACGTAATTACATATTGTTATTTGCAGTTTATTATATATACCAATTCATATTATATATATTAAAAACATGCTTACATGCATGTTATATTTTTGCTACTGAATTACAAAATCCGCCTAGAGTCCGTAGATATGCCGCCTGAATTTCATTTTCGCAGCAAATTTAGCGGTACCATTTTACTGCTTTACTTGCCCGAACTGCCTACTCAATGCATGTGAGAAACTGCCGTGTGCAAAGCGCACTCACGAACTTTCAATTGCAATACCTGAACGGATACTCTCCCATGAGTATTAAACCAACGTCAACTAATTGCTGGCAAGTGTGCCCGCATTCTGGTGTTTGAAGCATATTTGATATCGTTTCCTGAAGCAGTGTTTTTTCAGAATTATCGCGTGAAAAACTATTCAAATGAATGCATTGTATTTCTGAGTGATGACGTATTTCTGAGTGAGTTAAACGAAGAGGGGATTCGAGTTCTGTTGACCTCCATGGTGCACGCATCCAACAATACACAACCTTTATTTTCTTTGTACCCTTTTTTATCTGTTCTAGCCAACATAGGGCCCAAAACCGCAAAAGAAAGTCGTAGAAGAAGATAAAATTCGCGCAGTGGAGCCCAAGCAAAAGGCAGAAAATTTACAGTAGTACTTAGCATATGAATTAGTTATGTTTCACTAAAAAAAGAAATCAGAAAGTTGCGGACAGGATTTCTGCGTAGTCACTGAGCATTGAAATAAACACATAAATTTGTGTAAGTACTGAAAAAGGGTAGTTCCTGTGCCTAGTATTCGAAAAGCCGATATTCTAGAGATTCAGTACACGATCTTGCTATTTTTCTGAATGCTGTCCATTTAATTGTACGTTACTGACATTTTGTCATAGGAGTTTATCTATTGTTCTAGAACGCTAAAATCTACTACATGCACTGCCTAAAAATGGGCAGCTGTGGGTTAGCTTTTCTTTTCTGTGCACTATTTTATAATGTAACTTTTCAGGTAAGGAAAAGTGAAGAGTACTTTTGAGAATAAGTGGCTGGATTTAGGAAGCTGTTAAATTGCAGCGTCATGCAAACCAATGCCCACTACGGACATTTAGGAGGATGGGTTTTCTTTTTTGAATTGGTACTGGACAGAGAGAACAGAAATTCCAAAATCTTTAATGTGATACCAAAGCAATGATATTTGGAAGCATCAGTTCCGGATTCTGGCGACACGAGGGGCATGACATTTCTGCGTTATAGAAGAACTGCTTATAACTTTTGTAGTAAACTGTTTTGCCATTTTCACTGAATTGTAAATCCTTTTTATGTTCCGTCATCCTGCAAATTATTACCATCACAGTTAAAAATTAGCCTTAAGCATTCCTGTAGGTTAAGTTTTATCTATAAGTTAAGTATTCTTCTTAACATATATTTTTTTGGTTTCCGATCCAAAATAAATCGTTTTCCTAAATTTAATTATGTTT